AGTAGAATCAACACCATCATGTTTGGAAGTGCAATTAGGAACAACAAACGCATCTAGACTTAGATATAAACCTAATTCCAAATCAATTAACTCCCTGTGGAAATCGATCCCGACCTTGTTGGGTAAAACTGCATCGACCATCCTCGCTACTCAATAGTGGTGTAGGTTTGGACCCGATCACCTGACGCAACCGTTCAAACTATGTGCACCACGCATCTCGGAGAGTCTGGGGAACAAACTCTTTCAAGAACATTTCCGAAAATTGAGCCCAACTTGGTGGTGTTGCATCGGCTGGTCTACCTTCTTCATAGATTTGCCACCACTGATATGCTGCGCCTGACAATTGAAATGTAGTAAAGGAAACTCTGCTCACTTCCACAAAACCTATGGTGCGGAGAATACGGTGTCAATTTTCTAGAAATTCTTGGGCATCCTCTGTAGTTGTGCCACTGAAAGTAGGTGGACTATACCTCTTAAACCTCTCAAGTCTCTTTTGTTCTTCTTCCGATGCCTCTGGCCTGACCTCAGGCCGAAGCAAAATAACAGGTTGTACCGGTACTACACCTGGAACCTGACCAACGTGAACTGCTGCTCAGGAGTTGTGGTAGGAGTTTGAGCTACTCCCCCAATCTGCGAAATATTTGGTGCAACAGAGATCAATCCCGCCTGAGTTAATGTACCAAACATACTCAGGAACTGTGCTAAAGTATCCTGAAGCCCGGGGATAACAACAGGTGCTTCGGGTACCTGTCCCCCAGCTGGAGCTACTGGCGGCTCCTCAACAGTTGCTCTGACAGGTTCTCCAGTCGAGGCACGTGCCCTTCCTCGACCTCTACCTCGGCCTCTACCTTGGCCACGGCCTCTTGCAGCCCTAGCAGTATGTGTGGATGCCTGCTCAGCTAACTCGGTAGCACGTGTCCTCACCATATGCAAGATAATAGATATACAAAGGCTCAAATTCCAAATTTAACAAATTCCGCACAACAGGAATGAAAGAAGTGGAAATTTCGTAACAGTTCTGTAGCCTCTCGAAGATAAGTACAGACGTCTCTGTACCGATCCGCAAGACTCTACTAGACTCGTTCGTGACTCATAGAACCTATGAACCTAGAGCTCTGATACCAACTTGTCACGACCAAAAATCCCGCCACAAGCGTCATGATGGCACTTAGTCTCTAAGACTAGATAAGCCGATTTTATAACAATTCAATCCTTTTTTTTACCAACAACGGAAATAATTACAAATATAACAACCTCCCAAGATTAGTAATACTGAGTCACGAACTCTAACTGAATGCATGAAATGATCTCAAGGATCGAATACTCAATACTGTTTGAATAATAAATAACATTACAATAAAATGGAAAGACTCCAAGGAACTGCGACGACCAGGCAGCTCTACCTTGAATCCTTGCGATCCCACTCTAACTCTGTTCAAGTCTGATATCTCCAATACCTGGCTCTGCACAAAAATGTGAAGAAGTGTAGTATGAGTATAGCACAGTCGGTACCCAGTAAGTATCAAGACTAACCTCAGTGGAGTAGAGACGAGGTACAGTCAAGACACTCACTAGTCTAATAACCTGTGCAATATAGTATACAAAATAATAGGAAATAAATAACAATAAGGGCAACACAAATCAACCAGTGATATGCCCGGTATGGCAACAAGAACACTATTAATATTGCTCAATAAATAATAAATACAAGTACACCCAATTAAATCAAGTTCTTCAAATAAATATCTTTCACATATAATCTTCAAAATAACTCTCTTTCAAATATAATTTCCTCAAATAAATATCTTTCACATACAATTCCTTCAAATACTACTTTTTGAATAAAAATCCTTCTAATTAAATATTTTGAATATAATTCTTTCAATTAAAAGTCACCATGTGACACCTCATTTCATAATTATAAAAATACGGGTCTCGACCCTTTTCATATTTTTACGGCACTTCGTGCCCATAATTAAATCATCATATTTTTCTGACACCCCGTGCCCATTTTTCATATCACATCTGTACGGACAGTTCACGTGCCAATAATAAAACCATCATATTTTCCCACGGCACTTCGTGCCACATTTTATATCTCAAGTGCACGGATAATTCACGTGTCAATATCATTATTATTTACTCACAGCACCTCGTGCCCACATTTCTTTTCATAATCCGCCTGCCAATAGCACAGACTCCCAATTTCAACATAAATCAGACTATTATTAATTTACCAACAACAAAAAAAATTGTACAAGATATAAAAATAAACACAAGAAAAATCACAACATCACATAAAATCACCAATGCAACCACTCCACATCATCATATATCATCCCTTATAATAGCCACCCTTATCTCTCCTATAGCCACCCTTATCACTCCTCTAATAGCCTCCCTTATCCCTCCACCTTGACAATATCAATAGCCACCCTTATCGCTCCTATAGCCACCCTTATATCTCCTTTACCCTTATCTCTCTGCCCATACAATATTCCAACACACATAACAACAGTGAAATGCCACCCTTATACCCACATGATATCAACAGTGAAATGTCACCCTTATATCCTCAAAATAATAACTCAACAATTTACACAGAATATTGTCACGGCAACAAAACAAAAATTAATTCATAACACAATTTGCCCAATGGCCACAACCAATTCCAAAGATATAACAAAATAATTAATTTCACAACAAATAGTCGAAGGCTCCACACAATGTGTATAAGACCTCAAAAATAATCAACGGAGATAGAAATTACTCAACATAGGGCAACGCCTTCATTAATCCAAATTCTCAATAATTATATAAACACCTCTTCTTAAGCTCATTTAATTTATTATTTGCAGAGGAAAAATCCATAATGAAATTAAATTCCAAGAAATATCAAACCTTCAAACTCACGGAATTCACATAAATATACAAGTAACATTCACATCAAATCGTCATATGAAAACAAATTCAATAAATGCGAATTGAGGTATGGCAAATAGATGATTAAATAAATGCCAACAATTATTCAATTTACTACACAATATGACCAAGACTTTAACTCAGTAAATTTTTCACATATAAACCCGAATACGTACTCGTCACCTCGCATACACGGCTTTTCACATTTCATAAATGGCACATAAGACTCGATGCCTAAGGGGTAATTCCTCCACTCAAGGTTAGGCAAGATACTTACCTTTTTAAACTTAGGTCGATATTCCAAAATAGCTTCCTCACGTGAATTGACCTCCGGACGGCTCCAATCTTTCTTGAGCTTTTCTTACATTACTATGAGGTTCCGAAAATCCTAGCAACTTCAATCTATTTAGAAACATAACAAAAGTGAACCATAATTAGGAAGATTTTCATGGTTTCAGCTCATTTGAGCATTTTATCAAATACTAGGTGTGCAAATTTGGTTACAAGGTTCTTCTACAAGATTTCCTTCATTTCACAACTCAATCTTTACTTATTTGATATCAACAATCTTTCCACAAACCTTATTGGTACAAGCATATATACATAATACTCTTACACCCAAGAATCATACTCCCAATCACCAATCTTTTACCCCAAACTCAAAATTTGAAGACAAGGGGTTGAATCTTACCTCTTAGATGAAGATCTTGTGATTAGCTTCCTTGATTCTTGAAGATTGGATGATTAGAATGTTAGATTCCCTCCTTCTCTCTCTAAAATGCTCTTACCTCTCTCTAAACCCCTCAAAAAAATACCCCAAAATAAGCCCCAAAAGCTATTTATTAAAATGGGGTCAGGTTATGAAAATAGAAAAATCAACCCTCCGAAAGCAGGTTTGCGGTCGCATAATGGATTGCGGAATGGGTATGCGGGCCGCAAAATGGTCGCAAAATTTGATGCCCAGAACTGGGCTGTTCTCGTCCATTCTGTGACCAGTTTGCGGTCACAGAAGCAGTTTCACGATCGCATAACTATTCTGCGATCGCAGAGTTGGTCGCATAATCGTTTTTTTCCAGCCTTTGGTAATTTGATCATAAATTCTTGTAGGAATGTCCAAATGATGAACGGTTTGAAGCGTTAGAAATTAGACTCAATGATCTTTTATTTGATAGATAATACACCATATAACACTTCATATCATGAGAGTTATGCTCATTTGAAGTTAAGTCTTGTGCAAACTCACTTGAAACTTTAGTCTATTATGAAATTTCCAACTTCTACATTCGATGCCGAAACCTATCGAATCAAGTCCGATTGACCTCAAATTTTTCACACAAGTCATAAATGATATAACGGACCTATTCCAATTTCCAGAATCAGATTCCGACCTCGTTATCAAAAATTTAACCTTCGATCGAATTTTTCGAAAATCGTCTATTTTCCAACTTTCGCCAAAATGCGTCGAATTGTCCTATAGACTTTCAAATCCAAATCCGGACATACGCCTCAGTCCGAAATCACCATACGAAGTTATTGACATCATCAAAATTCCATTCCAGGGTCGTTTACTCAAAAGTCAACTCTCTGGTCAACTCTTTCCATTTAAGCTTCTAGATAAAAATTGTTCTTTCAATTTATTTTCGAATCTTCCGAAAATCAAACTCGACCACACCCGCGGGTCATAATACATATTACGAAGCTGCTCGAGACCTTAAGTCACAAAACGGGACGTTAATTTTTAAAACGACAAGTCGGGTCGTTACATATAATAACTAAGTTTTTGTTGAAACCAATTTATTATGTTATTGTACAATATATATTTTCTAGAACAACACTTTATTATAGCATCGAAAAAAGATTGCGATAAACGAGGATATTATAGAGAAATTTGAGTATATCGACTGAACTTCTTAAAAATAACAAGCATCCCATTATATTTATTTTTCCCGAAAAAGGTTATCTTAAAGTTGCCTAAACGAGCACATAGGTGATATAGGTCTGGTCACCAAATCTTTCGTTCTAAAGTTTCTATAAATAAGAGAAAGAATGCAGGAATTTTAATCATCCACAATTATCGACATCAATATCAACACACATTTTAGAGTTCATTAATTCATCAAAAATGGTTTTCAAGACAAATCTTTTGTTTATCAAACTTTCTTTGCTTTTGCTTCTGATGATTTTCTCAGAGGTTTCTGCTAGGGATATGCCTGCTCTGCCTTCACACCCATTACTCAAATGTAAGTTTTCCATCTTGGTAATTTTTTTGGGATCTTTACACAAATAGCCGGCCATAATTATTGTTTATTTTTTCTAGTCATATACATAGTTTATACATTAATTATACATAATTATACACATGTAATACATAAATTATGCATAGATTATACCTCCACCGACTAGTTTTGGTTTAAGCGATTGGGTGGGCGGCTATTTGGTTTAATTCTTCAACTTTTTTAGGGTGAAAAGGGTAAAAAGTAATAGTCGTTACGTATTGTATGAAATATCTTTATCATGTGTTATACTATGAGGTCATTCATACCCTTGCTATAAGCAAATCACCTAGCTCCAAATGATAATTTTGAATCATAATAAAAAAAATAAACGGGTATGGTTCAACCTTTTCCTAAAGTAAATTGACATGTGAAATCCACAAGGTCAATACTAGAGCCTCCTGAAGTGAAGAGCAAATATGAGATAATTTACTAACGACAAGGTATAAATGACCTCAAAGTATTACATATGATAAAGTTAAGACATTCCCATAATACGTAAATGAGTAAATTTGGACCTTTTTCCCGCTAAAAAAAATGAAACAAAAGAAAAAAGGCCTTCTATTTGCATGCATCTTTCATTAGGATCTTTACACAAATAGCCAGGTAAATTTATTATTTATTTTTTCTAGTCAGTAAACATAGATTACATATATATA